TAGTAAATAAACAAATTGTTTAATGGATAAAAATGGATAAATTGGACTTTTTACCTTTAATATTTAAATGTTTTTGTAGATAGGGCCTTTTGTTTTTTGTCAATAAATTCGCTAATTTCGGTCGGAGGAGTCCAATTTCTTCTGTAGACATTTGTTTTGATTCAATACATTATAATCAACAATAAAATCGATTTTGAATTTTTGGTTAGTTAGGGCCGTTTGCGTTTCAGGTGACGATATGTAGGTATGGTAATATTTTTTTTTTTTTTTTTTTTTGGAAAATCAAATAACTACATTCTGTCACCAAATAATCTTTCCATTGAAAGTGTAACTATTTCTGGAATAAAACATTTTAATCAAATTCTGAATCTTCAGCCGTTAAAACAAATTCGGTAGTAATAATCACATAAGAATGATTTTCGGAATACGCCCTTTAATTTAAAAGGAAGATTAATATTCTAAAACAATTCGATGATTTATTGTCATATTTATACCCTACACCACTTTAGTGTATATTGGGTTTGTGCTGATGTTTGCAACACACAAAAATATTTGTCCTCTACCCACCTTAAAGTATACCAACCGGCTTAGAATCATTTTCTGAGTCGATTAAGCTATGTCCGTCTGTCCGTCCGTCCGTCTGGCTGGTCATGTAAACCTTGTGTGCAAGGTACAGGTCGCAATTTCCAATATAAATGGATGAAATTTTGTACAAGCGCTTTTCGAAATAAATTGGTTTTGTTGGAATTGAAATTAGTCTTATAGCTCCCATATAAAAAATCCTTCAAAAATTGCTTAAACGGTCATTACTGGCTTTGAAATACCAATATAACGACAAAATTCGATCCTAAATATGTTATTCTAACGTTAAACTAAAATTCAAACAAATCTGGAATGACTGGATATACTGAAACACTCTGTTCATACGATTATAATTTTGCTACAAATCTTTATTCTCTAAAAGTGAATAAAAAAAATTATATTTTTTATCGCAATTTTTTTCATAAACAATATACCAGCAACTATAAATGAAATCAATTAAATTGCCACCACATGCATAACAAACACAATCACATATAATATAATAAAATTAAATTAAAAAAATCTAATAAAATATATAATTTTTTTTATTAATAAAATATTTTTTAAAATACTCTTATCAATAGTTTTTATTCATATCTACTAACTACAATCAATAGATAAACAATAATAACAACGGTAAAATAACGGTATTTTAAATATAAAATTTTAATGGAAAAATATAACAGCATATTATTTATTTAAAAAATTTTAATATGCAAATTTTCAAGGTTTTTAAATAATAAAAAAAAAACACACACACACATACATACATAGTACACACGCAGAGACAAAATCTCATATATTTTATATTGAAATATTACAAAAACATGTGTATAATGTTGCTACACTTGTATAAATATTTAAATAAAACAAGATTTATGAAATGATACACAGACAAACACACACATACACGGGGAAAAAAAGAAAACATCTAACACAATTTTATTATAACCTCTGGTAAAATATACACACATATGTATAATATTTTCAATATAGAAATATATACATATGCAACCAAATGAACATATGTATATGTATCTACATTTATACAATATATATGAACATATATTTTCATAAATAAACTGTATACCATTTGGTTGTTTGTATATGTGTGTGTGTGCATTTGTAATAGTTCTTGTTTTGTATACAGTATGTATAAATATTTTTGACATGGAATCCATATCGAATAGACAAATAAACAATTTCCTTTTTTGTGAATATTACAAGCAAATCACATGCACTCACACATAAACACACTCGCACTCAATAGCATGGGAAACGGATGTTATGCTAGTGTGTTTGTTTACAGTTGTTATATATATAACACAGTCTGTGGGTGTGAGTCAAAAAACTAAAAGAGAAAAACTTTATATATGTATATAAATGCAATAATAAACATATTTTTGATAAAGTTTTATTTACACTTGCTTTTACATTCCTATATATAAATACATATTCAAAAATACCATTATTTGTTAGTACTCTCTTATTGCTCACTGTTTTTTTTTTTCTATATTTTTAAATATGAAAAATACAGAAGAGAAATTTAGGTATGTATTTAGAATATACCCTGCAGTATTATAAGTAGCGTGGTTAGTAGAGAGCGGTTGAGATGAAAAATACCTTCCGTTCAGCTAACGACAGGGTAAATAGTAAAATAACGATGTTTTGAACATTTCTTAAAACAAATTACTGTTTATTGAATTTCATCTTCATATTGAGATTTTTTACCTATCAGTTTAAAAGATCATTTCTGATAAAATTTGTTTATATTGTTATGATTTATGTAGAACTTATTGAGGTGATACGAATATCTTTAATTATGATCTATAATTTGAAGGTAGAAGGACGGACATGATTCTACTTACACATAGATATACATATATCGAGTTTCGATAATTTTTTTTATAGAAAATGTTCATTAAATTTCAGCATTTAACTTTTTCGAAAATTTCGAAAAATTTTCCTTTTTATAGAAAATGTTATTATGACCTAAAATTTGAAGGCAGAAGGACGGACATGATTCTACTTACACGTAGATATACATATATCGAGTTTCTATATTTTTTATAGAAAATGTTCATTAAATTTCAACATTTAACTTTTTCGAAAATTTCGAAAAATTTTACTTTTTATAGAAAATGTTCGATTACTTTTTCTTCTGTAAAAAAAATTATTTTCTTTTATAATAAAAACTTTTATTTTATTTGCAAAAAATTTTTGATAAATATTCTTTAGCAGTAAAAAATGTTAGATACAGTTTTCAGGCATGAGGTGTAATGATTACACAAAGTTATTCATTACATAGTCAATTACAGTTACTTGTAGTATGTAATCGACTAATAATCAATTACAATTTCTTGTAATTGTGATTAAAGTTTTGCCAATTACAATTATGGACTTGTAATTGTAATTAAGGTATCACTAATTACATGTAATTATAAGGAATAAAATTCGCAATTGCAAGTAATTGTAATTGCAAATTTTTCATTTACATTTACAAGTAATTGTAATCGCCAAAACTTTAATTACAATTACAAATATTTGTTATTGGTAAAACTTCATTTATAATTAAAAGTAATTGTAATTGTTAAAGATTCAATTACCATTACTGCAAATGTAATTGAAAATGTAATCAAAACCCCCAAGCTTGACAGTTTTCTCTTGTAGATAATTTTTCAGATTTTTCAGATATTTTGTTATAGAACTGTCTCAGCAAAAAACTCGGTAATGACTTGTACTTGCATATCTATTTACTGCATTACTTTTCAGTTTTCCAATGCCATCGGCGTGTTAAAATCATGAGTTGGAATGCTAATGAAAAAGTAGTGAAAAGCGGTTTTTAGCTTTTTAACTCATTACTTTTCAATGAAAGATTTTGCTGGGCATGTTATTATATTTTTATAGAAATTTTTTGATAAAGAAAGATTCTGCTGGGAATCTAATTGTTATAGAAAATTTTTCATAAAAAAATATAATTTTTTTAGAAAATTTTCGTTAAATTTTCATTTTAATAGAAAATTTTCCAATAATTTTCTTTTTATAGAAAAATTTTACAGACAATTTGGAGACTTCGAATTGGAGGTGGAACCTATTTTTGGGTGCTACAAACATAACATCCTCCGCATAATAGTGATATTGGGTTTTAACCAACGTATTCATAAAGAAATTAATCGTTTATTTTACGTTTATTACGAACATTTGCATTCAAAATTCCTAAAATTAACCGTCAACAACTTTATTAAGCATTTATGAATATGGGGGTAAATGTTTAGTCTGAAAAGATCCAACAACTTTCATTACCAAGTAAGAAGTTAAAAAATGCTAAACGCACACTAGTATGTTAAGTTTCTAATTCAACACGGTGATGTCATTGCAGGCAAGTACTTACCATAATCGTTTACATGTAATTAGAAAAATTAATCAATTTTACGCTATGAAGATGGCTAATGAATTGAAAAGCATTTATATAACACATTATTTATAAGACGTTATGAAACTACTTCTTTGTAATCCGAACGATAGGTAATAGTCATTGAAAAGTATGTTAATTAGTAAGTGGTTACAATTGAAAGAAATTTTTGCTGGGTATATATAGTATATATATATATGTATGTATGTTTGCATATACATACAGCATCAGCAACAAATATAACTAACACTTAGAATTTGTTTTTTTATGTTTTCATTTTTTTATATTTATTTTATTTTTTATTTATAAATAAACAACAAAAAATTTTGTAAAAAAAAAAACAAAACATATTCATTAGGTTGTTTTGTGGGATAAATTTTTGCATCATTTAAAAGCAAAATAATTTTAAACATATAATCGGTCTAACCGAAGTACATAATAGGCTATTCCAAATACAAAAGCAGAAAAAATAAAGTTGTCCTTATTCGATTACGTAAAGGGTTATTTTATAGTTATTTATCTCAATTAAAGCGATGTAATCCAGATGTAAGAAAAACTCAATTTCTGATGAAATTTTCATAGATTTTATTTATATTTTAAATATACTGGGTATGTATATACACACTAATACATTGATATATAATTTTCCATAAATACAATGTATGTATGTATGTATATTGCTATTAGAGATGTGTATAAAGAAATATTTAAATAAATAAATGAAATCAATATTATTTCTAAAACGAATTCGATTATATTTTTTCAAATATGCATATATTTGTATTTATCTAAAGTATAGTATAGAAGATAATATATATCAAATATATGTATTTAGAAAAACTCCAGCAACTAATAAGCTTAGCACTAAGTATATAGAAAGAAATATTTAATATCTGTTAGTATTTTATTTATAAAATCTAAAATAAGTTTACATTTTTTAGTGCATTATATTCTTCTAAAACTTATCAACTAAATATATACATTTTTTTTGTTTCCTTCTTTTCAGATTAAACTCATTCATATAAACTATTTAAGGTGAGTCAACAAAATGTCATGGTTTCGCTTAACACATGACAATTTTCTATTGTGCGATACGAATAAATCCATGTAATTTATTATGAAAACCCAAAAATTATAAAAGGTCTAAAAACAGCTCATTACTTGTACTTGCCTGTGTACCACCTAGTTATACTCAGTTTGACAAAAAAAAACAAATTGTGTTCACAATAGAAAAAACTTGTAAAATTTTTGTGGTTTTCAATATAGACAAAAAAATCACACATCCATGGCATTTAGTAGACAATTTTTAAACAAAAACCAATCATGCATTTTATGGTTAAAGTCCAGGGATGGTATGTCGATTAATTCTCTATTTTTAGATAATTTTCAATAAATTGTAATTTTCAAAAAAATTTAAAAAAATAATCTTTTTTACAATATTAAATAAATTTTTTATTTTTTGGAAAGTTTTCGATAAGTTTAAATTTTTTATGGAAAATTTTATTCTTTTATAGAAAATTATTTAATATTTTTCCCATAAATTTTCTTTTCTTTAGAAAGCTTTCTATAAATTTTCTTTTTTCCCCACAAAGTTTTCAATAAATTGTCTTTACTTTTGATAAATTTTATTATACCCTACACCACTATAGTGGGGAGAGTATTATGCGTTTGTGTTCAGAATCACAGAGATTACCTACGTTCGTCTGTCTGTCTGTCTTTCTGCCATGTAAACCTTTTGCTCACGCTACAGGTCGCAATTTTGAAGATAATTTAATGAAATTTGGAACATGCTCTTCTTTTGACTCAAAGACGAAGACTATTAAAATGGTTAAAATAGGTTCATTATTTCACCTAGCCCACATACCACCATACCCCCCGAATAGGGCTTTGGGCTTTTTATTTTTTAGAAAGTTTTCGATAAGTTTTAATTTTTTATGGAACATTTTATTCTTTTATAGCAAATTATTTAATATTTTTGCCATAAATTTTCTTTTCTTTAGAAAGATTTCTATAAATTTTCTTTTTTCCCCACAAAGTTTTCTCCCCACTATAGTGGGGAGAGTATTATGCGTTTGTGTTCAGAATCACAGAGATTACCTATTTTCGTCTGTCTGTCTGTATGTCCGTCTGTCCGTCTGTCCGTCTGTCCGTCTGCCCGTCTGTCTGCCTGTCTTTCTGTCCATGTAAACCTTTTGCTTACGCTACAGGTCGCAATTTTGAAGATAAGTTAATGAAATTTGGAACATACTCTTCTTTTGACCCAAAGACGAAGACTATTAAAATGGTTAAAATCGGTTCATTATTTCACCTACCCCACATACCACCATACCTCCCGAATAGGGCTTTGAGCTCATAAATATGTTAAATGCTATTGTATCTCTCCAAATACCGCCAAAAATTAATTTTATGCCAATTTTCATAATGATAGGGATTTATTTGACCCTAGCCCCCAGATAAAATCCCCTTCAGAAAATCACTGGAATGTCAAAATTCGCTTATAAATGCTAATATCACAATAAAATTCTACATAAATAACTTTAATGTAGACGTAAATCCATCTACCAAAATTTATAGGGATAGGCTCATATTAACCCTCTGCCCCCATATAACCCCTATTTTACAAAATCCCTTTTTTTTGTCAACAAATTGTTCAAATATTTCTAAATTAAAGTAAAAATCAAAATTAATGTTTTATTATTAAAAAAAAAATATTATACATTTTCAACATAATCACTGGTGTAGGGTATAATATGGTCGGTCCTGGCCTTCTATACATTCTTACTTGTTTTCAATGTAGAGTTGACATTTTACATCTCTGACGTGCATGTGTTTGTCATTGATTATGTAAATGTATCACAAACTGGAAAGAGCATCAACAACAAAATTAAAAACAATGCAATTTGTTAACTTAATGTTAAAAATTTGTTGATTTTATAAATTAATTTAAACTGGGTATTTAAAAATTGTGTATGTCCAGTTAAACATGAACACATGTCAATATTAGATTGACAACCTTTTATATGATAAACGAAAAGTTGGGCTTCGAGTCAAAACTATCAAGAAATTATCTTTTTTTTTTTTTTTTTTGTTAAGAAACTGCAGTAAGGGTCATTTTAGTTATTAGTTTTGTTGGAAATATTTTTTAAGTTCCAACCTAATATTAGTATATGAGTGTTGTTGCTATTGGCTTTGACTTGATGATGCTCTGTATGTTAAGCCTCACAATTTAATGACATTTTTTGTACAATACACATGCATATTTTTTGCACATAGATATGTTTGTGTTATTTAAAAATCTAATACATAATTTTATAAACCAAAAATACCAACAGATAACAAACACAGCAACAACAACAACTTACTAAGTGTAATGAAACGTAATACAAACACAACACTACAAGCAACAAATTTCACTACATGTATTGTTTTTGTTATTGTTGTCGTCGTTCTCTCTATGGCTAAAAGGATAAAGTATATAAATAAATGCAATTGTTCGGCTTTTGAGGTCTACTGGCAAATTGAATAGATTATGCCACAGGTTATAAAATGTTGTTAATAAATTTTTATGCATTATGTTTGAGTATGTGTGTGTGTGTGGTATTTTAATAATGTATTTGAAACAAAATTTTAATGAGAAAAACCAAACTAATGGGAAGTAAAGGAATTTCAGTTTTAAATAAACAAACATAAAATAATGTAATAGTGAAATTTTTGGCATACTGAACTAAAATTTATATTAAATAATTTTATCAAACTATTGTTATTTTTCAAAAACTAAAGTAATGTTTTAAATTATGTGGTTAGTTTAACTAGCATTTAGAGTATTAAAAAACGGTAAAAAAAACGTGTTGAAAGTGGTTTTATAATATGTTAAGTAAATATTTTACTCTACATTTTGGGGGACTAAGCTTGCAGAGTGTCAAAGTTGTACTCATCATGAGTTTCGAAACCCTGTTTTACAAATTAAAACCAATTTTCCTAAACGAAAACTTAATGTGGCACTTATTTCATGTTTAAGCTTTTTTCATAACTTACAAATGACTATCTACCTAAAGGCCTTTAAACTTTATAAATAATTTATTATTACAAATATTTACTCTTAAATGTTGTTCATCTTTTTCTATTTGTCATTATTTGTTCACTTATATTCTACAATAGTTTTACGAATATTATTCAGAAACTTTGACAAGAAAATCCACAAGAAAGAAAAAATTTATTTATAAATTCTTTAGTTTGAACAAAATAACTATACATAAAACAAAAGACTTTAAAAACAATATAAAAACAAGTAGGAAAGTATATTCGGGCATGGCCGACCATATGATACCCTACACCACTGAGTATGTTAAAAATGTGGATTATATTTAATAACAAAGCATTTAAGTTGTTTACCTTAATTCCGAAATATTTTAAAAATTTGTTGAAAAAAATGATTTTCTAAAAGAGAGGTTATATGGGGGCATGGGTAAATATGGGCCTATCCTTATCATTTTTGGTACATGGCTTTACGTTTACATTAGAGTTATGTATGCTGGATTTCATCGTGATACTAATGTTTATTAGTGAATTATTGACCATCAAGTCATTTTCTGAAGGGGACTTTTTATGGGGGCTAGGGTCAAATAAAGTCCGATAATTACGAAAATCGGTAGTATTATTAAGACGTATATAGAACTAAGTTTTGCCGATTTTTGTAGAGACACTACAATAATTATGAACTCAAAAGCCCTTTCCGGGGGGTAGGGTTGTATTGGGGCTAGGTGAAGTAATGGACCGATTTCAACCATTTTCAATAGGCTTCGTCATACGAAAAACACGTATGGTCCAAATTTCAGCAAAATATCTTGAAAATTGCGACCTCTACCTTGCGCACAAGGTTTACATGGACAGCCAGCCAGACAGACAGACGGACGGACGGTAATGGCTTAATCGACTCAGAAAGTGATTCTGAGTCGATCGGTATACTTTAAGGTGGGTGTAGGACCAATATTTTTGTGCGTTACAAACATCAGCACAAACGTATAATACCCTCCCCACTATGGTGGTGTAGGGTATAAATAGTAAATATATTTGTATATACTGAATATTATATACCCTTCACCTTATTATAAAAACAATACAAATTATTTTCTTCCCGATCTTGTCTTTTATGAGCTTTTCATTTATATATGTCTATCTTACCCTGGGTACTTCACTCCCTTATCAACCATCATTTGGTAGGCTATTTGTAGAAAAATAAACTTCTCGACGGCAGTCAATATAGCTTTCGTACTGGTCGATCTACTGGCGACCTAATTGCTCTATTCTCTGAGCGTTGGTGTCGATCAATTCACCGCATGGGTGTAAGTAGAGTAGTGGCATTGGACATATCAAAGGCATTTGATCAAGTATGGTATGATGCTTTGATTTCCAAACTTAATTCGTTTGGAGTACGAAAATAATTTTTCCTTTTTATCTCAAATCTCCTTTGAGGGCGAACCATAAAGATAGTTATAGAAGGGACTTGTTCTAACGATCATATACTAAATTGCGGAGTTCCTCAGGAATCTGTTCGTTCTCCAGCTCTCTTTATAAGTTTTATGAACGACTTATTGCCAATCAAATTCTATCCAATATATTCTTTTGCGGCTGACAGCAATACATATATGTCATAAATATTCGGGTTTTTTAAGATGTTGTAGAAAATACTTCTCCGCCTCCGATCTGTTCCGTATTTACACCACTTCCTTCCGACCTAAAATGGAATATAATTCCCATGTATGGGCCAGAGCCTCAAGGTCTAGTCTTGAGTTGCTTGACAGGGTACAAAGAAGGGCAGTGTGTCTGATTCTATTGATGAAACTATCACTGATTCTATTGATTGCCTAAAGCATAGACGAAACGGATGCTAGTCCTTACTCTACAGATATTTCTATGGACATTGTTCAAGAGAGATAGCAGACCCCAAAGCCGTATGGCGTTTTCAGAGACATCACTATTGTACTTAATATTATAAAAAATTCAACTTCGAACTTCAGAATGTATACATAAATGTC